GGAGTGGATGTGTCATGCAATGGTCTGGCATTGCATCAGGATGATGTCCGGTTCCTTCTCCACCCCCCCCCCTCAACCAACCATGGAGGATGGATGGATGGATGGATGGATCAGAGTCAAGCCCTTCTGGTAACTGATTCACATGTAATCTGACCACTGCAGCAATCAAATAAATTTAACAAACAAATAAGGGCTGAGAGTAAGCATGTATAAGTGTACCTGATGATTGGAGGATAGGGGTCTTCCTGCCCTTTGCCAGACGACTGAGGCTGAAGAGGGTCCAGGGACAATACATGTGAGATCCAGCAAATTGCCCTCCTGTACTGTGGCGATGGAGGGCTGGATGGTGACCGATGTAATGGCTTCTGGTGGCCAGAGAGGAACACAGCTGTAGTCACATGTGTTCCCACATGCACATCAGGACTTACATTCAAGCAGCATTTTTCAATTGGCGGTAATTGTAAGTTAGCTAGCGGTCTGTTCAGTAGCAAGGTTAATGATATAAGGACATCCAGGAAATACCACATTTTTACACCACTTACGTACTACAGAAACTCATTTTACAGAGCAGACTGACAAGCCCAGATTTGTCTGACTGAATATAATATATTAAAGTATTATATGAAGCCTGGGAGCGTCTAAAGGATAAAGTGCCATTCGGTTAATATTGGAAAGTCGTATGTACAGTAGCCTACAGTGTGTCTGCTAATGATGTCAAATATATCTGCCTAAGCCGACCTTCAGTTGTGCTGTCTTTTACTCATTGTGTCATTAAATTAAGCCAATAATTAGCATTTTCTCATAATAATTTCCCTATTAAAGATTTGCACATTTTCCCTCACTTGTCCAAATATAAAAATGGGACAGGTCAGTCTCTGAAACAGACGTGGCATTTAAAAGAGAGGATGGCAGGAAGGGCGAGAGGAGAATTAAAATATTATAGCTTCGTGCAAGTAGCAATATGTACAACCCTGGTCAGCTTCTATCGCTGAAAACAGACGTGCATGGCTTTCATAATCCAAGAGCCCTGGTTTGAGCACACATTATCCGGGATGATTTATTGACAGTCTCTCCCGTTTATTTTCTAACTTTACGTGTCATGAATGGTGAAAATGGTGAATAGTGGCTGATGCTCCAGGAACTGTCACGATGACAAACTGTCACAATATGTCACCGCTGTCACAATACACCCTGCCCTCGCCCCGCCTCCTCAGAGCAGATTCTTATGGCTCTAAGAATTTTATAATCACATTAGTCTTTATTGGTCGCTTGTATTGTTTATGACATTAGACTGAACTAAAATAATATTCTTCTAGACTAAATGAAAAAAAGAATGAAGGCGAATTACTGTGGTGACATGTGATGAAAAAAGGTATAAAGCAGAGCCTTTTCCCTGCCTCCACTTACGAGATGTGCTGGAGGTCACTGTGACGGTCACAGAGGCCTGCTGGACGGTCGAGCTGCCCTCAAGTCGGCAGATGTACTCTCCGGCATCATCCGGAGAAGCCTGGAGGATCCGGAGCATGGTGCCTCGAACCTGGGGCCACACACAGGCACACAGACAGCTGGTCACAGCTACTGCCGACCCGAAATTTCTACCTCTGGATTTTATTTTTACTATTATTAGAGACAAGTAGAGAAAAAATGGCTCCCTGTAGCACTAACACGGGCTAAAGATGTGTAGTTCTATGGGTTAGGCCTCTATGTCTGTGTATGACAGGTCACCGGTTCGAAGCAAGACCTCAGCAGAATAGCCACATGTCTATTGGGCCCTTGAGCAAGGTCCAAAATGCTCCAGGGGGTCGTATTAATGGCTGACCCTGTGCTTGGACCCCAAGGCACTCTCTACGTGTATCTCTCTAAGGAGAGCAGGACAGGCTATGCAAAGACAGGCCTACAAATGGAAAATAAAGCATAATCTCTTGTAAAATTATTTTTTCATTTTAGTGTAATGTTTTTCACACTGTCAGCTGAATCATTAGGCAATGATAGTGTACTTAATGGAAAAGAAAGTTATATTTAACTCCAATTTAAGAGTTATACTTGTGTTTCATGAACAGTGTTGCCTGCGGTTCACGAACACAATCCGTTCCAGGAAAGTGGTCGTGAACCAATTTGTACGTGAACCAAGGCAATTTTTCCCATAAGAAAGCATTGAAATTCGATTAATTCGTTCACAAGTCTACCAAATAATAATTTTTGTTAATTAATTTTTTAGTTTTTATAGTAAAAACTTTAAAGAAAAACACAATATATTGTGGCGACGGAATTTTTGGTCGCAAACCAAATTGTTCGTAGACCACTGCGTTCGTGAACCGCAGGCACCACTGTAATACTTTCCTTCGGCAGTCTAAAACCACGCAACTCGCTGAGTCCATTTTTTGTTGCTTTTGAGATGAGACCACCAATGGCCTAAAGTCAAGCTTCCTCATCACATTACAGTATTGAGAACCAAAACTTAGTCCTCATGTAATCCAGNAGCCCCTCTGGTAACTGATTCACATGTAATCTGACCACTGCAGCAATCAAATAAATTTAACAAACAAATAAGGGCTGAGAGTAAGCATGTATAAGAGTACCTGATGATTGGAGGAGAGGGGTCTATCTGTCCTTCGCCAGGTAACTGAGGCTGGAAAGTTTCCAGGAACAACACAGCTGAGGTCCAGCCACTGGCCTTCCTGCACTGTAGCCACTTGGGGCAGGATGGTGATCCATGTGGGTATAGGGTCCGCTGGAGAAGGAGGAACACAAAATTCGCATCTATACGTCTTGGTACACCAGTGCAGCACTGTTGCCTCTCCCTCCAACAATCAATAGCCATTTTAAGCAAAGCTGTTCACTATTTCACAAATTAATTTGATAGTTAGAGGAAGCCCATGCAATTATGCCATTTATCCAGCATGTAAGAAAGCTAAAAGCCTGTTCAAACACATTTAAGTAACAAGAAAACTGAGCCAATGGTGCAGATTGTGTCTAACCCACTCCCTTTGTGAGGAATATGCAATGAGAAACATGCGAAGGTAAGTTGCACCACTGTCCTTTCACACCCTGGCTTAGCTGCTAAAGACTCACTGGTCTGTTCAGCCTGTCTGCGCACCGATCAAAGTTTTACTGTGATTCATTTCCTGTGCCGAAACTGTGGCTTATATCTCTGTATCAGAATTATGTTACTTTGTTTATTGTTTTCAATGACCAACACAGGAGGCAGGAAAAATATAGGCCGATACATACAAATGTAATACATGCATATATGATGATGTCTCACCTTTATGCCCTTAAGCTGTGCTAAACCAGTACCAAGACCCCTCCACAGTAAACTGCTGAAGCTAACCACAGGCCACAAGTCACTGCACTGACAAAGCTAACCACAGGCAACTCCTCAGTGTACCATTAAGGTTTACCACAGGCCATTCAACAACGCAGTGCTAAAGCAAACCATAAGCTGCGCTTCAATGTTTTGTTAAAGCTAATCATAAGCCACTCCTCATTGTACCGCCAAAGCTAATCACAGGCCACTAGTCACTGCACTGCTAAAGCTAACCGCAGGCCGCTAGTCACTGCACTGCCAAAGCTAACCACAGGCCATTCCTCAATGCTCTGCTAAAGCTAACCACAGGCCACTACTCACTGTAACTCCAAAGCTAACCACAGGCCACTACTCACTGCACTGTCAAAGCTAACCACGGGTCACTACTCATTGTAACTCCAAAGCTAACCACAGGCCACTACTCACTGCACTGCCAAAGCTAACCTCAGGCCACTACTCATTGCAACGCCAAAGTTAACCACAGGCCACTACTCACTGCCAAAGCTACCCACAGGCCACTACTCACTGCACTGCCAAAGCTAACCTCAGGCCACTACTCATTGCAACGCCAAAGTTAGCCACAGGCCACTATTCACTGCAACACCAGAGCTAACCACAGGCCACTACTCACTGCAACGCCAAAGTTAGCCACAGGCCACTATTCACTGCAACACCAGAGCTAACCACAGGGCACTACTCACAGCAATGCCAAAGCCAACCACAAGCCACTCCTTACTGCACTGCAAAGTCTAACCACAAGCTGCTCCTGTCATGACTCAAACCTGTTCCTTGTCCACTGTTCAGCAGGTGCCTCTGGTCGTACGCCTCACCTTTGATCACTTTCACCTTAATGCTGGCCTCAGACGAGCCGATGGAGTTGGTGCCCACGCACAGGTAGGTGCCGGCGTCGGAGGCCTTTATGTTGGGAATGAGCAGAGTACCTATGTCTGTTCGCTCCATGCGTGCCTGAGGGCAGAGGAACACGATGTGAGTTAGGAGGCTGCAGTCAAACCGCTGGGAATATCCCAGAAGCCACGCTATGAATCAACCAGATAATCTCTCTTTGTCTGAACTAGATCAGTCATTAGTCCAGTCTCCCTCTCTAAGTGGTAACACCTTTAATTTCCAAACAAGAGTCAAGATAAACGGATTGAACAATAACCTCGCTATCCCCTTGGAGCACACATCATGCTAATGAATGCGCAATATTAGCTCTGCAAATGGATTATTAGGAAACCAACACTGATAACTGTAAATGTTAATTTTTTAGTTTCTGGCAAATATATTTGAATATGCAGCCAAATGTGGCCATACACACAAAAAACAGATACAAGCCTTACCTGACATACAGAATAACACATGAATATAACTCAAAATACAGTAATAATACATGTTACATACAAGTGTATACGTAATACCTGAGAATTAACATGGAGATGTGTTAGTTTGCTATATACTTAATATAAAATAGTGTAAATATATATAATAAAAAATGTATTTTTTATATTTCATGCTAAATTTACAAACATATGGTCTATAATATATTTGTCAGGTATTACATTTACTTAAATTAACGAGAATTTAATATATTTAACTTAACACTACACTTTAACACTGCCCGGCCAAAAAAGAGTTGGCATTTGAATTTTTCGTTGGACCGCCTTTAGCTTTGATTATGGTGCACATTTGTCATGGTATTGTTTCCACAGGCTTATGCAACATCTCACCCTTTATTTTCATCCAGATTTGTATTCATTTCTCACCTGTATTGACAAGCGAGTTGAACCTCCATAAAGCCTCCTTCAGCACATCCCAAAGACCTTCAATTGGGTTAAGGTCACAACTCTGTGGTGACCAATTCATTTATGAAAATAATTCCTCATGCTCCCTGAACCACTCTGACAATTCGAACCCAAAGAATCTTGGCATTCTGGTCCTGGAATATGCCCATGCCAACAGGGAAGAAAAAACCCCATTGATGACAGATGGAGGTGTAACCTGGCCATTCAGTAGATTCAGATACTCAGCTGACTTTACTTTACTGCTGCATAACGTTGCTGGGCTGTAATAATGATCCAGTCATAGGCTCTTAAGTATTTGTTTATAAAAATTCAAATGGCGACTTTTTTTTGGCCGGGCAGTGTATTTCAAAAGCTCAATGGATGATGACTTCTCTTTGGAATATCATCCATTTACCTTCTGAATAAATAAAATTAATACACACTAAAAATGGAAATTGCTCATAATCAGGGATGGACATAACTAGTATGCAAGTACGCATTCACCTACGTGTGACAATCGATTGCTTGTAAAAGCGCAAATGCGAACTTATTTTATGTGCATTTGAGCTGCTATGACAAGAAAATACCTTGCATTTTAACCTGCTTACCGCAAATGAAGTAGAGTTAGCATATAAAGATCAAAATGCATTATATTTTGGTTTCATATCACGTAAAATAAGTACGCATTTACACTGTTACCACAATCGATTGTCGCATGTATCAATTTTAAAGGTGAATGCATACTTACGTACCGGTTATGTCAATCCCTGGTTATAATCTCTAAAATACTGATCATTGTTATATTTGTAAATATGCTAACAATATGTTAATATCCTGATAGTGATCCACGTATTAGTTTTATTAATTTTATCAGCATAATATTCCATTGATGTTATTATTTATATCACGGCCATTGTTCATGATTAATAAGGGGTTCTGGGAAATAACAGTTGTTATCGACAAATACATCATTTTTGTGTTGGGCCAAAAACTATGGCAGCTGCAGGAAGCCATCAGTGATGAAATTCTGATCTTCTTTTTAAACTGATGTTAATAGAGATGGGAAAACACAAACCCCAAAATGCTGAAACATTTTGTTCATAATTTTAGCACATCAGTCATTCTCCCTGCTACTGTATAGAAAGCGGGGGAGCCTTTTACCATAGTCTTTGGCATTTCACTAGTCAGTAGGGAGGACAAGGAACGAGCAGCTTAAATATTTTTTACATTGTCCAATAAGCACTTCAGGCTTCAGTGAAGTTACAGATAGCAACAATTTACAATTATTTACAACTGTTCAAAGTTCAAATTCCAAGCGAAGCCCACTCACACCTTAAGCGCAACCCACCAGCTCTCCTGTTTGAATTGCAATCGCTACAGGCGGATCGGTGCGGCGTCAGCAGTGATGCGGGCGCTGCATCGGTCTGTCGTGGTGAAGAAGGAGCTGAGCCAAAAGGCAAAGCTCTCGATTTACCAGTTGATCTATGTTCCTACCCTCACCTATGGTCACGAGCTTTGGGTAGTAACCGAAAGAACGAGATCGCGAGTGCAAGCGGCCGAAATGAGCTTTCTCCGCAGGGTGGCTGGGCTCTCCCTTAAAGATAGGGTGAGGAGCTCAGTCATTCGGGAGGGACTCAGAGTAGAGTCGCTGCTCCTCCGCATTGAGAGGAGCCAGATGAGGTGGCTCGGGCATCTGCTTAGGATGCCTCCTGGACGCCTCCCTGGTGAGGTGTTCCGGGCATGCCCCACTGGGAGGAGGCCCCGGGGAAGACCCAGGACACGCTGGAGGGACTATGTCTCTCGGCTGGCCTGGGAACGCCTCGGGATTCCCCCAGAGGAGCTGGAGGAAGTGGCTGGGGAGAGGGAAGTCTGGGTTTCCCTGCTGAGGCTACTGCCCCCGCGACCCGACCTCGGATAAGCGGAAGTTAATGGATGGATGGATGGATGGATGGACAAATAGGATAAAGAACAAAGCAGAGGAGTCCCATGTTTACAGTCCACCTACTGAGAGAGTGCCAAATGAGGCATTATGGTATGCGGGGGGGGGGGGGGGGTATGGATTCGGCAGTCAGAGCTGCTCAGCACACGGAGCTTCTGTCAAGCGTGGCAGACACAAACGGAGCCGCATTGCTGAATGGGCAGGCGGTGCCCATTCACAAACTCTCACAGTGGGCCGGCCGGTCATAGGCAGTTTCTGCATGAACGCGTGGACTCATCGAGGCTACCATGGGAAAAGCGGAGGACAGCACTGCTGGGCTTTAAGCACACCAGCTTGGCTCCTGATTCGCAGGGAGGGGGGGTGGAGAGGGACACTGGGGGGCTCACAAGCTTGTGGGGAAGACCAACGTTACGACACTACAGCTAACAGAGACCCAGAGTCAATAAATAACCAGTGGCTGACAGAGAGTTTGTACTCAGATCTGAGGGGCAGAAACAGACCCAAGGCACAGTATGGAGAAGTAGAGAACACCACAATTCTTACCGAATTCTGGCAGGATAATCAAACGTTGACGAACTGACGGGACGCGCAAAACATAAAGCACGTTCAACTCGTCCAGTGTTAAAGGAACTCATGTTACAAGGACTGAGGGCAGATTGAACTCATGCACTTAGTCAGGGAAAGACTGAGGATGGTGAGTTAAGGTGAGACAGACAGACAGACCTGAAGCTCCTCTATGCGTTTCTGTAACACATCGAGACTGTTGCTTTTAAACTGGTGAAAACCATGAGAGGGGATAGCCTGAAGCAGAGATGCCGTGGAAGGGTAAAAGGGATGGGAAAAGAGGAAAAGAAATGAATAAAAAACGAGGTAAACAAAATTATCCAGGCATCAGGTAGGCCTTCAATAGCTTGATAGTACTATCAGCAAGACAGTAATAACTACAGTATAGTATGAGCAGAGTATGAAGGTGAATGCTAGAACATGTGTTTTGAATTCAGTATGATCAAAGTGGAAGCCATGCAAAAACTTTGAAAATACAATTATTCAAAGCATATCTTCAGATTAACTGGGGTTCTGAGGTAAAGGGCCGACTCACCTGCTGGGGAAGAGGACCTTCCCTTCTCTTCCAATCGAGACCAGGAGTGGGCGTCCCACCAGCTCGACAGTACAGCCGCAGCGTCTCCCCTTCGTGTATGTCCACAGTCTGCGGGCTCACCTGAACCTGGGGTAGGCTGGAACCTAGAGGTCCCACACACACACACACACACACACACACACACACACACACACACACACACACACAGGCAGATACACACTCATGAGCATCATAGCTGAAATCCTACGAATGACACAAGAGCAGAGATTTTGGGGACGCACTGTGAACGTAGAGCATGGCCCGGGCTGCGTGCTCCCCGTGAACGTTCAGGGCCTTGCAGATGTACTCGGCCTCGTCTGCGCGTTCCACAGCCGGGATGCTCAGGACCTCCCCACGGATGACGGCATTGCGGTTAATCCTGCCGCCTGGCCCTCCTGTGTTGAGCACATCAGTTAAGCAGATCAGCAATTCAACTAAAATAACAAACAATTAATAAATCAAAACAAAATTAAGCAGCTATTTAATAAACCGTAATAAGTTTCCTATTTTAAAAGTAGTACAATATAATTTGCCTGACAACCTTTATCCAAAGCAATGTGTGGCACAGTGAAAGGTGGCAGTTTTCATGGGTATCTGGATCTGAACACACTTTTGCACTATGACCAACATTGCTGAGCCATGGGAGCTGAACATAACTGCATCTTATCAAAATGTAATTTATTCGTTCATCTATCCATCCTTCCACTTTCCACAACTGCTCATGCAGTGCAGGCTACCCCAAGAAGCATAAGATCGGAGACAGCAAAGCCACTGGAGTAGCTTACTGAGCAAGCTTCTGCCTTACCTATCCACTCGATCACAGGAGGGGGGTTTCCCGTGACGGTGCAACGGAACTCCGCCCGCTGTCCCTGCTGGACGCTCAGCACCGGCGGGTGCACTGTGGCTACGGGCTGCGAACCATCAGCTGCTACAGCAAGGCAGAGGTCAAGACAGCTCAGTCTGGAGCAACGAGGACGAAGTCGGGAAAAAAAAAGACTCCTCTGGGGCAGCATTCATTCAGACAGGAGGAGCCATAATGACAGGATCTCACGCTCTACCGAGACTCACTGTGTACTGACTACAAGCTGAAGAGAGAGAGAGGAGACTACAAAGAGGGCTTAGTATAATCCCAGACGTGTGATCAAAGGAAAAACACTCAATGCTATCATTCTGTTTTAAGAATTTTGCTCTTTAAATATAATAATAATAATAATAATACCCAGTAAAACCAGTATCTGATAAATATTTAAAGGCATTTTAACACTCACCTGCTGATATCTCCTTTGACTTTCCGTACTAAAATACATTGCTTTCCAAACCTGTAAATCTCACACCTTTATTTCTTATTTATCTATGCTGTGGTAGTAAACTCAGGTTTAGCATTTCAGACGTCCTACAAAGCTGAAACTATTTTTTAACAGTGGAATTTCATGGGACCTATATAACGATTTCCGGTACCTGTAGCGTAGAGTACATGCATGTGAGGGTTAAATGCTGGGTGCCCGTAACTGGACGCCTTGCTTGGGGCCCAAGTCCCCCTTCCGATCCCTGATGAGGATGGGAAGTGACGGAATGGGCTTGGCACAGTGCAATTCACACCTAGACTTGATACGATGTGACCCTAGTGCAGGGGTGGGCAATCTTATCTGCAACAGGCCGGTGTGTGTTCTGGTTTTCGCTGCAACTCCCTAATTAGATTACTAATTAGAAGAGTGATTGGTTGAAGAGTTCTCACATCTGGATTTGAACAGCTGACCTAAAGGTTACCCCAAACACCCGCACACACACTGGCCCTTTGCGGATGATTGCCCACCCCTGCACTAGTGTGACATAACCAAATAAAGGCATTTTTTACAAATCTAATGGGCTACTGGCCCATCTTAGCTCTGATCTGCAAACCAACATTTGAAAAAAGGCGATTTAAAAATGTCTGTTGTTTTATTGTAACACAGTGGCCAACACTGACTATAAAAGTGCAATGCTTTCTTCCTCCATGGATCTCTCTTGTTTTCTGCTTGGGCCTAGAGGAGGCTGTGATGATGTCTGGACCTTGCTGCAGTGATTATTCTTCATAGGCATGTTCTCTCAGCAGGTTCTGTGCGGCCCATTAGCCATAACCACATTTGTTCTGATCCACCACCAGCAAATTAGTTACTTCTATCATACGCCGTTTATCAGCCAAGTTATGCAGTGCGGTGTAGCAGAACAAATATGAATGATGACTAGTGGTCCAAGCAGCTGTGGCAGACAACTACTGCTTCTGGGAAAGCCAACTCATGAGTAGCTTAGGCGAACCCAGAATAAAATATTTATGAATGACATCAGATCCATAGCACAGTGCAATTCTTATTTTTATTGGCCCCACAATCTTATTTGCTGTGAGAGGACAGTACTAACTATGACTAGAACTCTACTCAGCAACTCTTGTTCCTAAATGGGAAAATCATAGTAGACACCAATCCCACAGCAAACATTTCACTCAGGCAGAGTCAACAAGCCAAAGCAGCATTTTTGTGTCAGAAGTTCCAGTGGAATGAGGGTCTGATGACAGTGGCAGCTACATCTCACACAGCTGGCGTGCAACAGACAAGTGTCCAGGAATGGCAGGCCGCAAGGGCCATTTGGGAAAGCTGGTGCACCTAGATGTTGGCAAGAGGCATTGCATGTAAGCTCAGAGTTCTGTGGATGAAATTTGGGGGCTCCTCCTGCTGTGTGATTGACACCCGTGACACCCGTGACACAGAGAAATCATGTCTGCGCTCTTTTGATGGTGAATGTAAATGAGAAACTTCACAGTCGTGAGTAAATACCAGTTGGTGTGAAACTGGAATGAGTGAGATATCTCCAACTCATTTGTGTCAACGGACTTTCCAGCGACTTCAGTCAACTGCACAGAGAGGAGCGTCCCATGTGGATGAGCATGCAACTTTCCCGCTCCGATGGGTCTACGGTATGAGGCAACTAGGCCAGTGTGGGCTTAGCAATGCTCACGTACAGTCTGAGCCTATTCAGGTTCTAGAATTTTGCTATTATATGCTTCAGAACAACTAAATGTATGAAATAACAATCAAATTTTTTAGACCAGTGGCTCTCGAATTTTACAGACCAAGTACCACTTTGGATCAAACCAAAGCAGTCAAGTGCCACATGGGTGAATGAACCTGAATCACAGTTATAAATGCCCACGGTCTTCTCGTATGCCACTTGGAGGCACTCCGTGTACCACTGATACAGCAGGTACCACAGTTTGGGAACCACTATTTTAGACTGTTTTAGATCTCATTATGTGAATAACACACACATCTTGGAATTTGTGTTTTTGGCTGTGTACACTCAATAAGCAAAATCCAATTGTAAATAACTATTTTACAGTAATATAAAATGAACTCTTAATAAAATTAACTTGGTCTGATCTCTTTCCCTTTTGCTTGACTGGACATCACTCACATCCTGTACGTGAACATTAAGGTCCCCAAAACCCCATGCTCAGCTCTGCAAAGGAGGTGAACTTAAAAAAAGATGGAAGAATGAAGTGCATGCGTAAAACAGGAGGCTCTCTGGGGAGGCGAGGTAGAGAGAACGCCAGGGAGACTTACGCAGTCTATGTCCTTCAAACATTTCATAGGCCGTGTAAAACATCTGAGTCTGAGAGGGTTCTGTGAATGAGGGACAGGCAAAGACTGGCAGGTGAGATTCGGACAGCGGTCAGAGGTACGGCCCTCTGTGGAACACAAGTGGCACTGGCATCTTCTGACTGACGGAATTTTGGACTGGTCAGATTGGACTTGGCACTTCATATCCGCATGCATCATGGATAAACAACTGCTGGTTTTTAGTGGTTCCTGCTTTTCACCTTGCTAAGTCTGATATTCCCATCATCTAGACTCCTGGTGCTACAGTGCACCATGGGAAAAAAAATACAAGCTTTATACATACAGTACCAGTTAAAAGTCTGGGCACACCTACTGAAAATCAATTGTTTCTCAACAAGATAATGACCCAAAACACACCTCGAGGATATGTATTAAGTATTATCTTGTAAACAAGGGATGAGCTGGAGTGCTGTGACAGGTGACCTGGCCCTCACAATGTCCCCCACCTAACCCTACTGAGCTGGTTCGGGATGAGCTGGATCAAAGAGTAAGAACAAGGAACCCAACTTGTGGCCAGAACTTGTTTAACCTTCTTCCAGACTTTTTGCCAAGCATTCCAGGTGGCTACATCTGGAAGCTGGTTATAAGAATGCCAACGGCAATGTCCTCACAATGTGCCATTGTGAAGAGTCCAAAATTAGAGAAAATTTTCAAATTTTGTATACTTCTCTTGGTCATTGCAATACATGAAATGTATTACTTCATTCTTTTTACTATGAGGTAAATAACACAAATAACATAGAGACAAATGCATTCAAAGCAGATGTGTCCAGACTTTTACAAAATCATAGTCATCTAACTTTTTGACAGTACTTGACACTGAGTTACACTTCTTTCCTATTTGGGAAATTTATCATTTATGTGAACCAAAGGTACAGATTCAGAGTCTCACTCAAGTTTTATCAGTAATATACCAACTTATTTATGTTGGCTGCTGTTCTTTGAAATCACAAACAAACAGGAAAGTAAAGTTATGAAAAAGAATTACAATTACAGTTCACCTGAGAAGATGGACAAACAAGTAGTGCCTTTGCATTTGCACCCTGAAGGGCCTCTAACTGGCTGTTTCTGCTGTCATCTCTGGGAACATCAGCAAAAAATGAGCAGGATCATTTAATTTTGTTTTGCTTTTGTGGTGAGTAATAAGTTATATTTGTTTGAGATGCCAGGCACATTATTAATATTTGAAAAACAAATTCCTTGTGTTTGCCACAATGTCCTCAGAGGCATGTTTGAAGTTGACTTGCCGGACCATTCTGTTTACACTTCTGTGCATCCAGAGACCACACTGCTCAGGATTAGGATCACGAAATATCATCACCAAAAGCAGCCAAATTAAACAATCTGAATTGCATGTTCAGAAGATTCATGTATAACTGCTGAGTGTTATAGTTGTTCAGTAATATTTAGTAACAACAGAAATTGTGCAATAAGGACAACAGAGGAATCATCATGCACTGTCAACATACTCGATTAACCTACATGCTGTTGGTTATAATTCTGGCACCCAACTTATATCAGCTTGGTTTCCTGACTGATAATTCACAGTGCACGGCAAACCCACCCATTTCACATTCAAAGCTTAATTTCTTCAGTTACTAAAAGTCAATTTTTAATTACTGTACTTATTCACAATTTCCTAATAATAATTTTAATAATACATATTATTTTCCTTTTTCCTTATTCGTGTAGTACAACAATTTTTTATGTACTACTTTGGCATAAAAAATACTGGCAGAACAATAAATATCACATGTTTTGCATGAGCTCCTGCAATAACAGCATTTTTATAATTATGCAGATTTATAAAGTACATTTTTCAACTGTAGAAGGAAGGTATTATAACACATACACACAGCTGGAGCTTAGAACACAAAGAATTTACAATGAAATGATAGCAGGTGAAACCAGCATGCAGATTAGTACATATTTAAATAAGCAGCTGACACTCTTTTCTGATATGAGTTCTCTCAGTAGCTCGTGTTTATTCCCATGGTGTGTTGTGGATTGTAACACTGGACAGAACTTGTGTGTAAATGTATAGGAAACAACCTAAAGTACACTTTAGGTGGAATGAAAGCTATGTCAACAACATTCAACATGGAGCACATTGCTTCTTTAACTAGTACATGTTGACAGTAAGGTTTATTGCATTTGTCATTGAACACTTTCGCCAAATCAAAATCATGACGTCATTCTAAATTGGAAGTGTACATGTAAAACACAAGCAAACAATGATTTACTTAATGGCTACTATCCTGTCTTTAATCTAAAAGCATAGTTTGTACATTTGATAAAGGAACCACACTTCAGATAAATAACATACACTGGAGTATATATATATATATATATATATATATATAGTACACACCATCGGTATTTCCTTGGACATAAAGAAAAAAGCATCAAAATTGTTCTACCACTTGAGGTGCCAAAAGAACCCCTTAGAAAGACATTTTAAGTGACTATACATGTTTGATTAAATTATCATTCAGTCAACATTAATACAATTTAGACTATTTTTGTATTTTACTATATTTTGTCCATTAAGTTCAAATGAAATCAATTGTCTTTAACATCTAATGAAACTGAGTAACTTTCTTCCAGGTGACCCACAAACGAACTGTGACCCACAAACGAACTGTGACCCACAAATGAACTGTGAGTTCAGTTAATAAAAGTCAACGTGCATTTTAAACAGAAACTGTGTCCACATTTGTGTTCTTTGGTTTCTTTCAGACTACTTCTGAATTTCATCTAACACTCTCATAAAGTAAACACTGATGTTATTTAGATGAATAAACACATCAATAGCAGTCATTACATTAGCCCTGATAATACTTTACTCTGTAATGGTAATACAAACTAAATATGGCACTATTAGTTTTTTAACATAATAAAAGCCAATAGCAAGTTGAGGACACAATTTCTTAAATTTACAGTCTCCCTAATCTTCCATTTTCTGTTTTTCCTATTCTGAGTTATTACACAGATACTGGTCAATTGATTCCTCATTTTTAATATGTTGTACTTCTGTTGATAAATATTACATTTGTTGTTATTAGAAAAATATCAGATTCCAAAAATATCAGTGCACTCCATTAATCATCCTAAGTTTGACAGATTTAGAGTTGCATGGTTGAGAGGAGGGAGATATATCTACTACTGAATATTCCAAATCCTTCAGTAGTACAATCTTTATTTAATATTCAAAATATTATTTAATGTTAAAATGACCTGAAAAAAATGTTCAGAGAAGAGCGACAACAAATAACGATTTTTGTCTGTTAACTGTAAAAACAAAAACAAAACAAAAAAACGTTTGCTACTCCACAGTACTGAGACCTGATAGAAACATTTGGCTGCTGGTTAACATAATCTACTGCTAAGTAGTAAAGAGCACCATTGTTAGACACTGACATTCATGATATCAATACCAAACTACATGTCGTACAATTCCGTTCCAAGGCTGATGGCGACTTGGAGCAGATGTCCATCCTCGCTTGAACTCGGCCCCACAGGCCTCTGCCACCCCATCCTCATACCCCCACCACATCAGCCACTACACCCCAAAGGTTAAAGGGCAAGAGACAAAGACCAGGAATAACAGAGACTCTCCCAGTCCCAAAAAGGGGAACGTTTCCATAAGCTGATACAAAGAGATCCAACGCTAACACTCTACTAGAAGTAAAAATTGAAAACTATATCAAAATGATTTATAGCCCATGGAAAGCCAACACCGATTAATTAAGACAAGAGAAACAAAGGAAAAAGATAAGACAAAAGACCCCTTTTATATTCCGAGAATGATCCACAAATTAGTGCTGGCAGAAGCAAGTGCCACTGCCTCTACAGAATAAAAATCTAAAAAGTGTCATCAGATTAAAGACTACAACTGAAGCAGGTTCTAAGGACCAGTGAAAACACGAAAAATTAATGAGGTGTTGTTTTAGACTGTAAATAGTTCAATCACATTTGGAAAGTCATTTCAACAAAATACTGATTGTTTTAAGGGTATCTGGTGACTCAAATAATACCCAAAATCATATCAGGTCTTAAAACTTTCCTAAGTTTGCCAAAATTTAAATAAAAAATAACTATCATTAGCATTAGTTAACCTCCCTCAACTAAACCAGCTGTACTTTTTTGACTTTCTGAGCCACACCTATCTACCAAGTGTATTCCTTCATACCAGCCAAATAATCCGCATAATATTTTATCTGGCTGTGTGTTACAAATTTATTTCTTGTCAATATGTGTGCCAACATATAGATTACTAATTTTACTTACCTATGGTAAACAAGAGAACGAACATTCATTAATGCTTCAGTGTTATAAGACTGAAAAGCAGTCTTATAGTTATCCTGATAAATACTTGTTGTGTTTATTGCAGGAAAATACTGGATATGCTGATTAGTCAGATCAGTCTTTATGTTCACAATTTCCAAACAGAATGTATTGTAGCCTTTTGCTGACTTTGCTAATGTTTCAGAGAGAGTCAGACAGCCAAACAATTAGAGGTATGAAAAAAAACAGCAGAAAAGGCAAGATATTAGATGAGGACAGGAAAGTATCATTATTGTAAAGGAGAGTTATCTAAACCCAAAACGGCAAGAGCAATGATCATGCTTTAAGGATAGGAGAGTTAAGTAATGTGGACAGACTGGGTGGGGCCATGCACCTCACAGGGTGGGGGCGAGGGTGGGGGTGGTTGAATGGTGTCGTCACAAACCTGGGACGTGCAGGATGGCTGTGCCTTCATCCATGGCAAGCATGTTGGAGCCCGTGCAGACGTAGATGCCGGCATCTTCTGGCTGCACATTATGGATGGTGAGGATGCCGTTGAAATCCACGGCCCGGTCTGGCAGGTTGCCCCTCCCCTGACGGGTCCACACGAGGGTGTACGCTGGAGACTGGGAAACAGGAAGCCCCCATATGTCACAGGAAGTGCTGGACACCAAAGCTGACTCTTCAAGGTCTAGACTGTAATAACCGGAGCAAGGAACTCAAGCTGATCTGCTTCAGTATAACATCCAACTTTGTTAAGAAACAAGCCGCAAACTAATAAAATAAAGATGTCACAATTCAGAGAGAACCTGATATTTGAAAATCAGGATCATCCTCCTCGTGAAAGGCCATCGTGAAAGGCCCTAAGGCTTTACCCTACCTTGCTCTTTGCTGTGCAGATGAAATGGATGGTTGATCCCACTCTTACACTCTGAGTTTTGGGTTCCTCAACTGTCACTTCAATAGGTTTGGTGGAAACAGCTACCAACACGCAGGGAAGAGGTATTATTATATTCCAAGCATGCATTATTTACATATAGGGTAAGACTGCAATTCATTTTCAAAACAGCAGCTATGCAAAAAAACAGCTTCTGGTATTATGTATATATTTTTACATCTACAGCTTGCTGAATACATTACCTTAGCTCTTGCAGAATCAAAAATCTTACTGTCTAAAGCAACTAGAGGAGGCAGGACTAAGACATCTGATTGGTTGGTCCCGCCTCCTCTAATTGCTTGGACCCACCTCCTCTACTATCTGATTGATTATCTCTCTGAAGCAATCATTTTTCCTTCTGCCCACAAAACAATTTTGTATAAGTAAAACTCCCAGGAGTGTGATGTAATAGTGTCATAGCTAAAGAACACGAAAAAAAGTTTGTTATGATATACTGCAACTTTTTGTCATCATATCAGATCTTTTGGTAATTAATATTAGTCTGTTTTACTAGGATGGTGAGGTAGTAAAGGAGGAGAATACAAAGCAGATAGTCTAAGATTCAGTAATTTTCCATTGAGCAACTGTAGTTTTGCACTATAGATTAACTGACTTTATAACACTTGACTGTTGTTTACAGTATGTAGTCATTATTTTGAGCAACCAAAGGAATATGGTTTAAAAAGATATAGCATGACATAAAGAACACATTACTAATAGGCCCATAAAAGTACGAACACCAGGCTCAGGGGCTTACCGGTGACGACGATCTCGGCACGGCTCCGGTTGGTGTTGTGCTGGTCTTGGCAGGTGCAGATGTAAACACCGGCATCGTGAGGTTGGACACTCGAGAAGTGCAGCTCCTCACCTGGCCCACACAAATGGTAGTTACACCCTTCACTGCAGCCCACAATGTCACTGAACAAGAAGCTCACTCTGAGTATAAGGTTTCTTACAAGAATTGTAAAACTCACTCCTTACATTTTCAACTGTGCAGTACAGAAGTTGGCTCTACAGTTTTATCCAGTGTGAACTTTTCGATATAGTCAGTTTGTCTCCTAAATTTTCTCCCTCCACTCAACCCCCAAGCAGAGCGCACCATGTCTGTGTATCTCCGCATTGCTCGAGAGGGACCGTCCATCTTCCCTCGACCACTGGAACTTGTGGGGCGGAAGGCTGGTAACCTGACAGCGGAGGGTCACAGAGCCACCCTGGGACACCTGCACTCTCTCTGGCTGAATCCTCACCACCAGGGAAACAGCATCTAATGCGGCAGTTGGGAAATCATCAACAACACATGGGCTCTTCAACAATACATGGAGGAGCACAGACTCATGATCATCAGGATCATAATGATTATGGTGGGACTGAGGGATGGTACCACCTACATTCAAGATGCAAGGCTCTAGGGTACATCCTATTGTAATAAAGGTTGGAGACCTGGAAACTGGGCTCTACGCATCTGTGATTTTAAATTGAATAACTCTTACATTTTCTCCTTAAACACTTCTTTTGCATCTCCCCATTAAATGCCAGTACTCACCGCTGTGGATATGACACTTAATCCTCTCTTGAGGGTTGCCGACATATCCTGGTGAACAGCTAAGGAGAGGAAAAGAGTGACAGTGCTTGTCAAGTCAGTGATAGGAGCTACAACATTGCTTCATGCTGATTGGATTACAGTCTGCAGGGTTGATGTCATTTACCGTTCACAGTACTGGCCGGTGTATCCTCGCTGGCAAGCCGTGCACTGATAGCCTCCATTGCCAGTGCTCTCACAGGTATGAGAAAACCTTTCAGGAGGTCAAACATCAGTGTTCATGATTATTATTCGAGAAAGAATTTTCTGCACTGGGATTCGCATCTTGCAAATAACTGAAGTCAGGGTGGAAATTTGGTTAAAGCAGTCTGTGGTGCACATGTCCAGAGACGAAATGAAAGACGAGACGAGAGTTTCCTCACTGATTTTCTGGATCTGTGTGTGGACAAGCACAGGGCTGGCAATCTTCTGGTGTTCCTGCAGTGGGGTCGCCGAAGAACCCAGCGGCACATTGCTCACACATCTGACCCATGGTGTTATGGAGGCAACTCTACAGTCAGAATGACCCAAAGGTAACAGGCACATTATTGCATGTTCGCCACGTGCTGTACAAGCTTTATAAAGACGGGGAGATGGGTGGAGTCTTTACCGTGCAGACGCCCGTCTCCGGGTGGCAGGAGTCGGAGTGCCCGTTGCAGTCACACAACTCACAGTGACCAAGGTAGAGTCCTCCTCCGGTTCTGGTGTACCCTGCAGCACAGTCCTGCACATATAATGGACACAAACAATGAAGGTCCACACGAAACACCTTCTGCGTATGGAGAACCATCATAACAAACACTACGTATAGCTCTCAGAGCTGTTCAGTGACATATTTTTGAATGCACTGTCAAAACAGGTACTTTCTTTCTAATCTATAGTATAGTGATTTAGCCGACACTTTCATCTAAGTAACACACAATTTCTCAGACAGCGAGGTCAGACAATCACCAGAGCAATTAGAGGTTAAGGGCCTTGCTCAAGGACTCAATAGTCAAATCACTCTGCTGACGCCGGGATTTGAACCAACAACCATCCAGTCACATGCACAGCATCCTGAATCATACACTGCCCTGGGTTCCGATTGGTTAAATCTCTGAAGTTTCGGACTGAGAGCCAATGATCGAATCTGTAGAGCATTCATAGCTCCAGAGTCAGTAGAGCTTCCAGCAGGCACCTCACCTGGCAGGACAGGCCCCGGTAGCCAGGTGGGCACCGACACTCCTCTACCTCCAGGGCCTGTGTCAGGCCGGTGTAGTTTGGCACAGCCACCTCCATGCTGACATCGGAGATGCTGGTGGAGCGCATGTCTGTGTAGTAGGAAGCACGGATCAAGATGTCATCCAGGTCCGCCAGCACCATCATGAGGTGCTCGCGCGTGGCGGGCATGCCGTCCGGCCGCTGCCAGTTCTCCTGCAGCATGGATAATGCAAGAAAAACACGTTTTAGGAGTAATGCAAAAGAACCCAAAATAACAGTAATGACAGCCTACCATTCTGTTTAGCTGACCCAACAAAAACCCAACAAATGGACAGATTACATGCAGAAGAGACCTTCGGATGGAAGAGCCCCAGTCACCTCTTTGAAGACGACCTCAAACTGACGGGACTCCCGCGTCCCCTGTCCTCTAGGCCAAGGCTGTCGAGTGACCAGGGTGATGTCATTGCCCTGGATAATTTAGGAAGAGTTTAAAAAAATCCTGATTAGAGGAATTTTGGGAGGCAGTTCATGGTTCACATTTTAAGGTGGGCATGTTAATTGGATGGACAATGTGCCCATAACTCCAGCCTTTACTTACGATAATCTGAACGTCAACATCTTCAATGGATGAGCCCCTTGGATCTGACACATAGGAGAGGGTGTATTTCAGGCGGCCGCCGTAGGAGCCGACCTGCAGAAATGAAGAAAGCTGGTCAGGCATCACCTGTCAGCAGCTGTAAAACATCACCTCTATGCAGAAGAAGCTAATGTCACGGCCCATTTAGTCAGATAGTTAAGCATAATAATTACAGCATTATAGCATCTGTCTAGAAACTACAGCTACACACGATTAAAGTTATTTTGAAAAACCCTGTCAAATACCCCAAGGAGCTCAACTGAAAAAATATTTCAATTTATATTTATATTATATTGTTTTAATAGTTAACAGATAAATATATGTGTGTAGGCAGATAACTCCTAGCTGGAATATATGGATGGTGACTTCAAGATGAAATACCTGGACGGAAAATAAACTTCACCCAGTTCCGATGCTTGTTTTGCGTTACATTAAGTGCAGAATGAGCACGAATGAACAGGAACTGCGATAAAACGCGGGGACTCGGCCACGGTACGGTTACCTTGACCCCCTTATACTGTGGAGGCAGCTGCCAGAAAAGGACTTCCTCTGGGTACAAGCTGAAACCTTTGTAGACCAGAGCATACTGGAGTGGAGGAAGGAGGAGCGGAAGGTAAGGCAGAGGCAGGGAAGCGACAGGGGAAATGGGAGGGCAGAGCAGTACGGCGGGGTGCAGCGTCACAGCAGAAAGCCCCCCCCCCCCCCCCCATACTCATGGAACACGTACTGAACAAAACCAGCAGAGCCACAAAAAAATCATTATTAGATTATTAGAACTACATAGTCTAAATGTAACAATATATCAAACACTGACGTATTACATACATGCAGGACTTGTATAGCTGACGCTATAAACTTGTTAGCTCGATTTGTACTGTCTGGGCTCAAATCTAATAATCCCTCCATCCATTTATGAAGAAAAGCAGTCGTTTTTTCAAGAAAGTAGTGATTTTTATGCTTTAATAATGGATTTAATCATTGCCTTAAGTCTGCATTAGGACTTCAAATATAAATTATAACTAAACTGCAAATCATGAAAGGATGAATGAAACTGAATCGCACGTACCATTGGAGGCATGTCCCTTACTGAATTGCAGAATTTTTGCACATTAGTCACATTACATTTGGATAGATCTTTCAAAGAACAGAGAGGGAGTTTGAAGGAAAAATTATTTATTTTGTTTCATTTGTTTGGATTGATCAAGATAATATGGCCTGATGAAATTACTCATTATTCTTCATACTGAAGAAGAGCATTGAAGTTTTTTGAGTAACGAATCTTTCAGTGCTGGACTAGGTTTTTTTTTGTTATATACACACACACACGCACACACACACACACACACACAAAATAATATCTTTGTAGGGACTCTCCATTCATTTCTATGGGGAAAACCCCAATCACAATATGGTGACCTTAACCGCTACCCAGCTCTAACCTTAATCATAAGTAACCAAACAAAATATGAGACTTTTGAAATTTTTTGTTTTTTGATTGCATTCACAGATCTTTGTGGGGACCTGAGAAGTGGTCCCCACCACATCAAAATAACAGGTTTCTATCACATTGTGGGGTACATTTGGTTTGCACAATGTAATATAAACATAATCCACATGCGCACACACACACACACACAGACATGCACTCATTCATGCATACATACATACAACAAGGTTTGTTGTTACGTAAATACCATAGATAAAAGTCAACAAATATCTCAACTGCGTTACCTTTCATTAAGGTTCCCTTTTATTTAAAACTGATTTTGGCTGAAGAACTCATAATCAATAGAAAAAAAATGACTGAAATGTGCAAATGGTTTATCATGATACTATAGTCTAACGGCTGCAGTCTAGTCATCTCTTTGCATACTCACACACAGATTAACTTCACAATCAAACAGATAAACTGTAAGGTGGGGTTTCACAAAGCCTCCAAGACCAAGCGAGTGTTAGAGTCAGGCCCGGTCATATGTGAACCTACCACATTCACGTCTCGGCGAGTCTGAGGCAGAGCCTGTCGATGCCCCCCCAACAACAACAGAACCAGTGAGATGAGACAGCAACAGCTCCTCATAGAATCCACAAAACTGCGTACACATCAGTAGTACGGGCAGGATCAATTATAATACCTGGGCATCTTTGAGCTTAGAGGAATACCCGGGGGGCGTGGAATGAGGCCCACGGGCCCTGCTGGGTTTGGAGGCCAGGAGGCCAGAAGGCTGATGCAGAGGTGTGGGGGCATGCTGAGCAGAAGGTAATGGGGAGTTCCATGGTTTGAGGGAAGCAGGGGACGCAGGAAGTGAGAAAGGGCGACGACTGGTTGGTTTGTGTGAGAAGTTGGAAATTAACGCCCATATCTCCTCGTCCAACTGCTGGATATCATTGGGTGACTGCTGGGGAGCAGGGTGGATGAAACAGACTGAGCAGGGGGGGGGCCCAAACAGAACTACCTTTAAAGTGTCACTATGCTGCGTCAAAGACGTTTATATCATGCCAAAATACGGTGGGAGCAAAATCAGACCACAGAGAAGTTTTACCAACTTTAAAAATTAGAACCACCTAAATAACCTTGGTAAAAAAAATTACAACACAAGCACACAGCTACACTACTCAAGACAATATCTTGCATTACTGAGAAGATCTAACATGCAGGTATACTTCATCGTTTACAATCACACCAAATGAGTATCTGTTCAAACCATGTTTTCACCATACAAACCACATGCTTTGATTAATACATGCAGTAGCATCATTGCTTTCTGCATAGACAGAGTCATTACCATGGACGTCAAGGTACAATCACAATGAGCAATCAATCAGTGGTCTTTCCCAATAGTATTGTAGTATTGGGCCAGTACCCAATGGAAAACAACATCTGCATATAACAATTACAAACCAATGCTAAAGACTGTTTGCAAAGGCAGTTTATCAGATCGGTCTATTAGTCACTGTCTACAGGATTATGGTGTAGACCAGGGGTGGGCAATCTTATCCGCAAAGGGCCGGTATGTATGTGAGTTTTCGCTGCAACTCCCTAATTAGATTACTAATTATAGGACTGATTGGCTGAAGAGTCCTCACACCTGGGTTTGAACAGCTGACCTACAGGTTATCCCAAAAACCCTCATACACACTGGCCCTTTGCGGATAAGATTGCCCACCCCTGGTGTAGACTGTAGAGGTTAAATGAAACATAAATATTATATAAAATAATGATTTTTTTGAACTAACGAACACTGAGAATAAACCATATTTGTACAGATGTCTAGTACCGTTTCATTGCACACAACCATACCGGTAGTTATTAACACCAGATGATGACATATCCATGTTAGCTACTCAACTTTTCTTAGCAAAACCTTGCTCAATGAAAACTACGGATCAAAGCACTGCTAAAAGCACGACCATGCACTATGGGAGGGGATCCACACACTTATCCTTGCAAGTGCTGCAGTGTGTCCAATGACGACAGAAGGCAAATGGGATGCACTCATGCTGCTGGATACCTCGACGGCCCGCTTCAACCTGCCAGAATCTTTCATCATGGAGTCCATGAGTTTCCATATGGAGGCATCTTTCCGCATTTGCTCCTCTGTCCACAGGGAGTCTTTCTAGTTACGTGAACAAAGCGAGGCGGATGAAAGTGTGTCCGTGGTAGTTAACAGGACTACACTGCATTCGGCCATGTCTAAAACGTGCATGGTCGTATGGCATCCCCTGAGGGGGGGGGGGGGGGGGGGGGATCCAGACAATTGCAAAAGGTTGCTGTTTTCACACACATTAGGAATCAACTCTTCAAATTGTATCTATTTTCTTATAATCTGCCAAATGACTGCCCTATCTGAAAATGACTCCTCATTAATCAATTAATGCACTAATATCAGCACTGCTGTTTAGCAAATGTCCATAGATATTTGTATTCACGGTATCGCTTTTTTTGGAAAAAAAGTGTATGACGTTTGCTGAATTTCTCATTCCTGAGTAGTACGAATCAATACTGACAAGAACAGAGGAAGCTTAAGTTGTATACAACCTTTACTACTGTCTGTTAAAGCTGTGATGAGTTGATTTTCTGCGTTCAGTTTTCTATATAAAAACAGAGGTACCATTTACTGGCATCCTGTCCAAAGTGAAAGAAATGCACCACTTATTTCTACTAACATATAGTAGTATGTTTAGTTGCTTATTAAATTATTAGATAATGCAGATAATGGCTTGTCTAGACCTGTGCTTTCTGTGGCCTGGGACAGGCTCCAGAAGCCCCCTAACCCTGTACTAGTTGGAAGATATATTTCAGTACATTGTCTTCAACTAGTTTATTGCTAACTTCTAAGTACTATCAAGTTTGTTTGTCTCAGTATATTAGAACAGAATCACTTAAATAAATGTTATGGAAGTGTAGGTATACTTAGGTACAGCAGTATCTTTTTCTTATCTAGTAACTGAACAGTTTTATTTAAATTTAAGTAACTGGGTTTCTTGCCTTAACTGAATAATGCGCTAGCATTCTATACCATACTATACCATGCATTCTATACCATGTGGTTACAACAAACAATGCAGACCACACTTTTACACAAATAGAACAGATTTGATGTCAGTATAAAGGATACGAGACAATAATTCAAAATTGCATTGCGCAGACCAATCCAGCACTTTTAAAACAATAAGTATTTTTCAAAAGCCTAAAACAGATTTAACCATGCACTCCATTTTATTGTGGCTCAACCTTAACCTAAATTGCTAAAATTTAGTTAACAAAATCACTAGCATGCATATCGGCATTAGTGGACAAAAGCAAGTGGATTGTATCGAAACACCGTATTTCGACTAGCCAAAATCTCAGTATTGTATCAGGCAACAATCTGTGATAACAGTGACCAAACATCTGGTTTATTTCATCTGTATCACTGCAACTATATAACATCATTCTGCTTTACCTTGTGTGCCCGTCTCATACGAGCATAGAAAGCTTCACTCTAAAGTTTGACAAGGGAAAGACAAATATTTCATTCATTATCAAACGAACACACTTCTGATAATGCTGATTTCATTTGGTATAATCTCTACTAGAAGCAAAGTAATAAACCTAGCACACAGCTGCCACAGAATATTAAAAGTGCCTCTAAATTAAATACTACAATTATTAAAATGCACAAAAATGAACCCATTCTGATTATGAGGGAATATACTGTTAAAGGACAGACTTGCAAGCTTGCAGAGCAGAAAAAAGGCTTTGAAGTTTAGAGGAAAAGTTCATGTGAAAGGGGTGAGAAAGTGAGCCACGTGAGCACCCCACATGGCGAGTCACATGACCAGTGCACACTACCTTGTCTCCGCGGTAGGCCTCCGGCAGCTGCCAATAGTGGGCTTCTTGGGCAAGGTTTCCAAATCTGCTGAAGGAGAGCTGAGTGCCCTGAGTGGACACCTCCACCGTGAAACCCGTGGCGATGCGATTAGTGCGCTGGCGATTCACCAGGGCGAAGCCCTGGAAGTGGCCGGGGGCAAAGGACGAGGACACCTGGGGGTAACAGTTACACTTACAGACAGGTCTCCGAAAGTAAACTGCAGCAGACTGGAAGCCAATTTCCCAGCAAAGAACTGAAGAGAAGTTCATCTTTGGGGTCAGTTGATGGGTAACATGACATAAGATGTTGATCTGCTAGTGCTGGGCGATATGACCAACAATTTTTATCATGGTATTTTTTAAGATTCCAGTGGTTTCATGGTATATCGCAGCATTTGTTTTGCCCAAGTTTACCTTTATCAGCAACAAGCGTTTACATCAATATGTTTATGAATGAATATTTAGTTTGGTAACAACAGGTTCACTTAATCGGCATGATTTTAATAATTATCACCATGATAAATTGATAATATTAGGAATTTTCCTTACCAGTATGCATTTAATTGCAGACTGATTATATTACACGTAATTCAGATTTTTAGGCATACTGATATGGAGTGGAATTTGTCCCACCTTCAAATGCAAACACGACTTCGGTATGGAGAATTATTGTTATAACGTTATAACTGTGAGTAAGAAGGGTTCGCACAGTTAACAGGGGTCCCCTCTCGGTACACTCAGCACAGCGATCCATAGCACTTCTAGCAGGGAACAGTATTGTATAGTTTGCTGCCTACTGAAGTGTTACAGCTGTTATTTCAGCTGTGCTACGGTATAGCGGTATATGAAATATTCATACCCTGCGGGAGATTAAAACCGGGATAGCAGATGATCGATATGCCGCCCAACACTATGATCTGCATCTGGAAAACTTGATGTCCTTTATGGAAAAGGGTCGAGAGCAACGGCAGATGGCCCTTACCAAGTCCCTGTAGTAGCTGGAGCTTGAGCACTGCTGGGTGATGCCCATGCAGAAGCAGGAGAGGCAGCCATCCTTGTGGGCAGGGCTCAGGTGGAAATGGCCCGGTTTGCACTGGGCACATAAGGGACCCTCCACATATGCCTGCAACAGGGGCAGGTAGAGAGTTATTAGAACATGTCTTGGTTGTCTTTGGACAAGCAATGCAATGAAATTTCAATCTTCATATATTCAAACTTGCTCTCCTATTAGACACATACAAAAATATACAGTAGAGAGCAATGTGTGGAGTTAGACTCCACTGGATAATCAGATTTACATCTTCAGGAGTGTACTGAACCCATCGTCTACCAAATTAATACCATTTTACATCAAAGCAATAACATAATTACAATGTTACCAGTATAGATTGTCAACAAATATTATTATATATAGGATGCTGTGAACTTAAACCAGTAACTCTGATGCTCTGTTTATAGGATATCGATATGATTTAGAATTCAGCAGTTCCACCATCATACCTTGCAGCGACAAACTCCATTGCTGTCACATCCGTCACTTCCTCTCTGATCGCAACTGTAGCAGTTTCCTTCAAAAACAAAAAAAGTATACATTTAACAGCAGCCCACTGCACTGAGATTTTCTTCACTCATAAGATACAATCAACTACAAATCAGCTAAAAAATAGACGGTACTGTAAACCCTAATGTTTAATTCAAAGCTAAGCTGGACTTATTGTTGAAGCTACTGCAAGCTTAACTTTTGCTACTGTAGAATAAGTTCCTTTCTGTTCCTGGGCAATTCAAAAATTAACTAAACAATAAAATGTCTTTGTGTCAGCTTTGATCAATTTATTCAGCAAAATTAGTTGAAACATCTTTTAAAACATATTAGCTCATCAAGGAAACTTTTCCTTAACTCGTGACGGACATATTTTGACCAGGGTAACCTAACAGTAAATAAAACAGAGGTCAGTACTCTTGCAGATGATTTCTAATGACCCCAAGAACCTTTCATTTTCTGTTTTTGCAATTCAAAATAAGAAATAAGATTTGCCAAATCAGAAGTAAAGGTAATATTCATATGTTTACCTTTGATATGTATTTATTTGAATTACTTTTTTTATGTAAAAGAAAGGTGACATTTATAGGCTCATCTGCAGATATATGGTGTTACTTCTGGATAAATTTCAAAAGTAGAGCCAATGACAGTTTGACATATACCATTCAGATCATTACGAATGACACATGCTTGACCAAGCTGTGGGTTGCCACTGTATCCAGCCGCACACCTGAAAAATGCAAAAAGAAAAAAAAACATTTTCTTAGAAAAATACATCCAGGTTAAGATTATAACCCCCAAAAGAATGTCTATGACTCAGAATCAACAGGCAAAAATATTTATAATTACAATCAACGAGTACTACCCATCTTGATTAGAAACTGGCTGCATATTATCATTAGACAAACATCTATTTTGTACATCACAGCTACAAATAAGCCTTTGGAATAGTGTATTAAGGCATGAATCACAGTCTTTCTGTTACATAGCCATCATATGGTCATATGGTCTCAATTACAGCAATAACAGTGCGGTTAAGAGAGCCCCCAGATTTGACAGGAAATAAAACCCCAAACCATACTGTAAGCCCATTAAACAACCACAACATGCCACCACAGAATGGGGTGTTTTTACAAGAATGAAAGGCTGAAATAAGATGACTTTGAACACATTTGCTTTAACATATTCAATACGTCTTTGAAACTGAGCTCTCTGGAAATCTAAGGTTAATTATACAATATAAACGTGAATATCTTTATGTAACACATCGTTTACATACATGGCATAGAACCAGCAAAGTGAAAATTGATGACCCACATCAGTGTTTTTGGGCTAAAGCAGAGCTCAGCCCATTGTTGGCATGTACGGAAACAGTGTTTTTTACTTAAAATCTGTGAAAGCAGAAAAGAAATGTTTCATTGTCCCAAATTGTCCCCAACATTAGGTGCACATACTGGAGTATTAGGACAGTCAGCAGGTATATACATAAAATCATACATATGGGTAAAGATATTTGCATTTTCCCTTTGCAAAAGCATGGGTTATAGCCCCATGAACACAAACAAAGAAAGCAAAAAGCTGCCTGGAGATGGCATAAAGCAGCCACTCAACATCTATCATATGTTGAAACCATCTCTCCAAAAAGGACTGATCAGTCATGGGACTGAACCACCTTTTCGTGTGATGCTTCAGAAACTAACATGCCCCATATGCAGTCCCATCAAAGATGCTTGCCTAAGGTAATCCGAACCAAGAGGGTAAAAGGACAGTCGTTTCCGATAGAAAGCTTGATGAGATGTCAAGCTCGTGGTTACCGACTCCAGAGAAGGCCACTCCTCAATTTCCCCAAATTACAGAGACTACATAACAAGTGCTACCACTGCAAGCACCAACATCTCATCCCAAAGCTTGACCCAGCAAAAGCCACCAACACTACACCCAAGATCTGCTCCTTGGGTCTTACCTGAAATGCTGGATGCTCCTCCAGTGGTCAAGCTGACCATCCAAGGTACAGCTCAGATGGGTCTTCAAAGAGTCTTTAAGCTCGAAAACCAAGTCAAAAGCACTGGTACCAGTAGTAAAGAATACTGAACCATGATTGGTTATACTGGCCTGGGATAACATCAAGCTACTTCCACTGGAGGCTGGAAAACCCATCTACAATATCCAAGAGTATGATGGGTTCTATATCAAGAACTTCTTGAAATAACAATCATGAGTATTAAAATTATGCACTGAACAAGCATCTTTTGTGTTTTACAGAAGCAGAGCTGTTTTCAAGACATACCAGACCATTGATTGCCCTTAAATTTCATTGAGCCTCTAGAAAGACACCCATACTTAACACACTTCACAGTATGGAGATAAAAATTGGAAAATAACACTTCTAATAGCATGAATGCTATTAGCTTTGTTGTGATGTACCGTATTTTTCGGACCATAAGACGCACCGGACCATAAGACGCACCTAGTTGTAGGGGAGGGAAATGAA